CTGCTGATACCAACTGATGTAGGGAAGCGTATGAATGGGAAGGATAAAACAAGATACTCTCTCGATAAAACACAAAACTCAAATATCAGAAATCTTATTCAAATTCAACCGAACGACTAGGCTTAGGAAGAGATAAATATATAGAGTCCATCTCTCTTAATGCTACTTATCTTGCCTAACAAGCTAGACTAGATATTTATTTACTTACCAACCATAATAAAATAACTAAGGTAATAAAATAAAAGGAACAATACTAATAGAAAATAAATAATCTAAATACGAAGCCTATCATATTTAGTTAGGAACGCAATCGCGGTCTTGTATCCATCAAGTAGCGGGACCATTTCCGGGGAAGGAGAGAGAGGCGAGACGCCACCACGACTGCGCCGACAGACCTCGGGTGAGCTCGATGCTCGCTGGAATCACACGAAAATGGGGTCGCCGAAAAGGAGGCTCATCGATTAGAGTGACGGTCGAGGATTACGATTGGGGGATTTTCGGAAAGTTTGTAGAGAGAGAAAATTGGAGAGGAGTTGTGTAGTTCCGCAGTATGTTGGGTTGACATGCCTATTAATAAAACGTTCATCCCATATTAGTATTTGAAATAAGTTATATTGATTTTATAAATCAAATTTAAGTAAGCAAGAAAAAATTATGCGGAAGTACCATTTTTGAATAAAAAAATTACTAGATCAACAAGAAAAAAAAAAAAGGTATAAGTTTGTGTAAAATGCAATCGATCTTTGTATAAATACGCCTAAAAAATAACGTAAGGTGTTTTTAAATCTACTAAAACAACATGACATAGTTTTAATAAATTATTTTCACATGTTTTGTAATTTACATTAAATATTTAAGAGCATGTCATACTTTCAGTTTTTACACATAAATAATTATATTGAAGCCAAATTGAGTCGAAAACGTCGTGTTCGAACTTGTCCTCGTATAATAAATGGAAGTTTGGCTCGGATCATTTAGTAAATCGAATGTAATCAATTAAGTTCCGCTTGTTTGAATTAAATTTTCATTTTATGTTTTACTATATAAATGTGTCAAGATTGACTTTCCCTATTCAATCGGTTCTGGCAGACTAGGATAGAAAATATTTTTGGCTACGCCCATGCATACACGCCTGATTGTTTAGTAATTATAAACCTACTACATAATTTTATTTTATTTTTTTTGGTATAAAGAAAGAGTCTAACACTATTACGTTACGACTGAGCTACATAAGTTCCTCAAATATGAAACTCCACTAATATCATGGGACAACCACAGCCAAACCGAGCGGGTCATGAAAGAAGTGATACCCTAAGGCTCCTTCCGTCGCTAATGAAGCCAAATAATCGGCTGCGAAATTCTCTTCACGAAACGCATAGTGCACCTTAACCTGCTAAGGGCGGCCCAAAAGTTCTTTAATACCCAAAATAAGACTGGTGTGTACCCCCGTCACCTCCTCTAAGGAGGCAGAAAACTCCACAAAACCCAATTTCCATAATATATCCACCAAGCCAGCGGCCTAGCTCGTCACCGATCAATCCACCAGTGCACCCCAAGCTCGACGTCCCATTGAAAGAGCCATCAGTGTTGACCTTGACCCATCCCGACGAAGGCCGCTCCCACTTAATCCAACACGACACCCTTATGTGTCCCGACCCCCCAAGCTTCTTGTCACACGTAAGAACCGTATTCAGCCCATCAATATAAGCGGATATTTCGCACATACCGCTTTCTTTATCCCTAGCCCGCCCCTGAAAGAGAGTTCGTTCCTCCACTTCCAAAGTTTCCACACCACAACCCCAAAAGTACGGTCCCAGTTAGTTTCCCCAATATCAGACCCCGGCAAAAGGTTCGAAGACACCCACAGGACCAATTGTTGTGCAAAGAAAGTGGCGTGGAACTTCCCCGACAACAATTTTCTCCAAATAGCGGCGGCCAAAGTGTAGTCACGGACGACGTGCAACGTTGTTTCTTCCGCATGGGAGCACAAACCGCAAGTAGTATCAATCGTCAGGTGGCGCCTCCTTCTCTCCACATTAGTGAGAAGTCGCTGTTTTGCGAGGGGCCAGAGGAACATCCGGATA